TGGCTGGCCTCCTCCCCACCAAATATTTTCTTTTAGTAGATAGACTATCAAAACTTTGTTATACCCTAAAATTGCACTGTGTTTTGTTTCTTTATGGGCAGCAATTTTTTTAAATAGAAAGTATCTGAATTTCTTTGTGTACTTTTGGCAGAGTTACTAAATCAGATGCAACGATTTGTTGTATATGGGGTTGCATCTCTGTGCGGAACATGTGTTTAGGATGGTACTTCCCTAGAACACAAATGTGAGTCATATTGATTATATCTGTCAGTGAGTAGAAATGACAAGATGGAATGGGCCAGTGCTTAATGTGGCTTAAATGGAAAGAAATCACGCCTCTCTGATCATACCAGATAAGCCTCATACACGATTATAACAATTAACCCTGTGAGTATGGAAGATCAAGATGGTATAGATGTAAATATGTGAATCATACTTTATTTTCTGCTTACTACAAATAAACTCTTAGGCAGTGATGGCAAACCCATAGCACATGGGCCACTGTGGGCTGTTATCACTGAAAGCTCTAAAGATTCACCATCACTGCTCTGAGGAATAGTTCCCACATTATCATTTTGAGCATGTTAGAATATCTGAAGTTGTTTTGCTAACCAACATTTACAGTTGCAAAAATAACTTGCTAATCAATTTTATTGTGAAATACTAAATTGTACATTGTGTGCTTTCTACAAAGGGGACACCAAAATCAAGTGCCATACAATTTTCTTGGCAAAAAGTCCTTTAAAGATGCCTGTGTAATGAGGAGTTGCTGTACATTCAGCTGTTACATTATGTTCTGGCTCTTTCTTTCTCGGGAAATAAATACACATGAATGTGATTCAGATTAGATTTCTATAAGCAGACAAAGAGGAAATAAAAAAGCCAGTTACCATCTTTTCTTTTAATAGCAAATACTCTTGACATATAGGGTTTTTTTTTTTCCCTTGTAAACAGGTCTGTGCCAACTATTTTAGTTCTGCTTCTAAAAGGCAGCCACATAAAGTTTTAAAAAAGAGAACCTAATGACCACCTTAATTCATAATATTGAAATATAAGGATTTGTTTCACCCTTGCATTAAAAGTTTTCAATGTGAAATACTTCATTTGCTGTGTTTACAATTTAGATTTAGTGGTAATTACCGTGTTTTGAGTTTGTGAATATAAAGCCTTCTAAATTCAGTGTTGACCAACTAACAATTGGAATTTTAGGAAACCAGCAAATAGCACTATAAGGTCTTCCCCACATTGGTCAGAAACATCTGAGGATGCTTCTGATGAGTGGAGAACAGGGAGATCAGTTTTATTACCCTCATGACTCCAGGGGTGGCCAATGACGGACTTTGTAATGCTCTTCCTTGAAATGGACCTACCTCCTGGGTGGCCTGTGGAGACCCTGTCTGCATGAAGCCAGTGACGCTGAGGCATCTGGCATATACACTGCAGGCTGAGTGGAACAGGCGCTGACTCTTAAGGAGCAAGGGACGGGGCTGAGTTGAGCATGCATTTGACCTCTGAGGCTCCATGGGTAACTGTCTCTTCTCCCCTGGGGGCTGTGGAAGGAGACCAGGATGCTTCCACTCCAAGTTCTTCCAAGGGTGACAATTGTGTCAAGTGTTTTCAGCAACATCACCTGAGAGACAGCTCTCGTTGCACTGGTGCTTCAGAAGCACAAAGCCTCAGGTCTACGAGTTAGTCTAGAATTTAATCAGATTCTCTAATGCTAAGTTGCTGTCTGTGTAATAAAAATAAAAGACTTCTTGCCAGCCATAGTATTTTCTTTTTTTTCTACTCTTCACTTGAGCCTAGCTATCAATAGAAATTCATATGCTAATGGGTACACAAAGTAGAATTGGGCAAAAAGGGACACAAAATGAGTTGTAAAGAAGAGGAACAAGAGGTCCAGGATTTAGCTCAGTGGTTCCAGTGCCTGTCTTGCAAATATGCAAGACCCTGACAAAACTGCACTAATTCTTCAAGAAAGTGAAGTAGAATTTTTCAAAAGACCTACTGAATAAAGTGCCTTTAATTCTGTAACAAATGCAACAGTGAGTATAAGGTTTTTGTTATTGTTGTTTTCAAAAGTAGCACCCTGAATGAAAGCTAGGGTGACCAACTTTCCTGATTTGCTCAGGAGTGTCCTGGTTTTACCATAGAATGATCTGTGACCCTGGAAACCCTCAGTTCCCAGCACATTGGGATGATTGGTCACTATAAATTGAAACTGAGAATATAAAACCAAAGAGCAAATTACTCAAAAGATAAAACAAGTCCAAATAAGTAGCAGGATCCCAGGCTAGAACCAGGCTAACAGAGGGAGGCTGGGTCCTGCCTTCCTGAGCGATGTTGCCTGGTGAATAGGAGCATGGGCTTCGGGTTGGGAAGACCTGGGTTTGAGTCTTCTGCTCCTTAGTCAATGACCTTCATTTTTCTTTCTTTTTAAAAAATCTTTTCTAAGTTTATTGGTACATTTTAGATATGCAAGACAGTTACATTCATCATTGGGATTGTGTACCTTTACATGACTTATCTTGGTTGTTATTTTTAATGAGAAACAAGTCATTTATAGCTAAATTGGATGCACATTGAGGCCATACTCTTAAGTGAAATAAATAGGACACACGTGTAAATACTGAATAGTTTCTCTGGTATGAGAAACTGAAGGTGTAAATAAGAATCAAAATGTACAATAGATAATGTGAAACAGGAAGAAAAGGTCTAAAGGGGAAGAGAAGGTGGGAGGGTAGGGGAAAGGGAAGAAGGGAAAGGAAAAAATATGAGAAAAGGAAAAATGGAAACGAAGTCTTTGTAAATAGAGAGGGGTAGAGGGGTTGAAGGGAGGCCAGGGGAATGGGGGAAAAATAAGAACCAAGATATATCATGTAAAGCTACAAATTCCCAGGGATGAAAGTCATAATATTGTATGGCTAAGATCTATCAATAAACTTAATGAAAAAAGAATTGGAAGATATGCTATAAAAGTTGGTTTTTCCTACAGATCAGCCAATCTGAACTGAATAGCAGACATTCCCTTTAAAAGACATGTGTATCCTCCAATAGACTCTGGCTAATGTCTAGCTAGCCCTCTCTGCTTCAGGAGCTTGGCCCTTTGGAGACTCAGCTGAAGTTCCCAACCCATGCTATATGCTTTGCAGCTTATAGTGTGTTCCAACCATTGGGAACTTATTAGATTTGCAGGGCCCTAAAGGCCCCACCCCAAACCTACTGTATTGGGAATTTCACCTTAATAAGATCCTTGGTGATATTTCCACACAATGAAGTTTGAGAGGCACTGTTACAGAGCACAGAACAGAGGTGGCGAACCTACGGCACGCATGCTGCATCCAGCTGTTCATTATCCCTGAACGCTCTAAAAGGTTCACCACCACTGCCATACAGTATTGTCCCCGGTTGGGGTGAACATGGGGTTCAGCTAAGGAGTTTCTGCTTGTTTGTTTTATATGCATATCTGGGGGCGTATCTGGATTTACTGAAATCAGAGTTCCTGGAATCCAGAGTCCGGGGTGTCAAATTAATGCTAGTGACAGAGCTTTCCTGTGTACACTTGAGAACTATGGGTCTAAGTTTAGCAGAAGAAAGCTAATTCTGTCATCCTACTGGAGTCCTCAAAACAAATTCTACCAATTATGAGAGCTATCAGCATGCGATATGAATACACTTAATGATAAGATTCTGCCCTTTTAATTTGAAACGGTGGGTGAAGCCTGGGTGTAGATGGACTGCATTTGGGAGATATGTGATGGTGGCTTGAAGGGATACGTGCTAGTATATGTCATACTTATATGACTCGAACGGTTTTGAAGGACAGATTTTCTTTGTTACAAGTGTTGTTGCTTTGCAATGGAGCTGCGTGATTCTAGAAATTGTGACAATAATAGCATATTTTGGCTTCCTCTTAGGGAAGTCCTTAATTCACCCTTGCCTCCATGGATCTCCTATTTCTTAGCGTGTCCTCAGACCTCCTACTTATTATTTGTTAGATTACTTTTCTAGGTCTGCTTGTTGCTTCTTAGGTGCTCTGAGTGATTTAATTTCCCATTATGTGGTCAGATCAAACTTCTTCTGAAGTTTACTTGACCAAGTATCATAGCTCCCAAATTAAAAATTTCCAGTCTATTCCTTTTTTGTATAAGATTTTAGTGCATACCACAATTATTTTATTTGCATTTAATTTTCAAGTTATTTTCAACTAATTTTCTTTTACCTAATTCTTCATCAGGTGGACTTTTCATGTAACTTATTTGGCAGTGATCATTTCCTCTACTTATGAAACATCACCTTCTCTCACTTTATTTAGTAGAGTAAAATGAACATCCTCTCGAAAAGTTTTGATGTTTCATTGTAATGTACCTCACACTTTATCAGTTATTGGGAACTTTGAATTCTTTCATATTGAGTAAAATCACTGTAGACCAGCTATCTGGGCAGTGGCAGGTCAGGGTCACTTGAGGGCTTGTTAGAAACAGGGCCCTGCTTCCGACCTGCTGAGTCACATCTCCACAGTGACAGGATGTCCCTGCAGGTGATTTGTGTGCATGTTAAAGTGTGAGAAGCTCTAGATTAGATAGATGGTTTACTTGTCAGCGTTAGCATTGTTGATGGTGTTGAAAATAATATACAGAAAGTATCTTCAGCTGTTATATACCCTACCTTTAGCATTTGCTTTTGATTTCACCTTACTTTGCAGAAACTCAGTTGAAAGCAAAGAAAAAAAAATGAATTCTGTCTCTAAATCCACAATTATTTTCACTCTCAAAATTCAAGTCGTTCTCTCTGGTCTTCTGAGCTCAATGAGGACAGACATCTTATATTTTGAATTTACTTATAAGCTTTATGTGCAGCTTGTGGTGACAGTTCAACAAATAGTAACCAAAAATATGATTATTGTACTTGTGTAAAAAGATTTGATGTTTAATGAACTAAAATATTTTTCTTAATTATGTGCAAATTGTTTAATAATGGATTATTATTTTTATATGCAGATAAACAGGAGGTGAAAGAGGTGATGGAAGAATGTAAAGAATCTTAAGCAAGGACTTGCTAGGTTGTGCTCTTAAGAAAGTTGGTAATGAAATGAAATTACTTATTTTCTCTGAATTCTTTAAATTCAATGAATACTGTAGAGATTATTCCCCAAATAATGATTTTGATATTTGAATTTCCTTGCAGATTACATTTCCTTGATACTTTTGAGACTTGGGTTGTAATTGTGCAGTGGTTTTTCTTCATTGACATTTCTGGGAAATTTATTTATAAATGTATCACTGATCTTGGGATACATTATGGAAACGAACATTTCAATATATGCATTATGTTAAGCACAGTGGAAATGGACTGATTGCCCTGTATTTGGTTTTATAATGTTTTAGCTTTATTGTGACTCAGATTGTGGTTACTATGGATTTTTTTTTTCTGGCCTGTTCTTCTTTCTGTCTGTTCATTGTGTCCTGATACAGCTTACCTTGGGGAGAAATGAACTTCCTCAACAGAGCAACATTAGGGGAGCCTGCATTATCTTGTTAGTGATGATACTTATTCAAGTAGAAATGTGATGAATTATTTGATATATTACTCTCAGTTTGTTATATTCTTTCAGCTAGGGCCTTTTAGAACACAGCAAAAAAGACGAACTACTTTTTAAGAAAAGTCTGTAATATTTTAAGAAAGGTTTGTTTAATTAAATTATATGTCAGTTTCCTGGATTCATAAGAAAATTTTATATCAACACTTCGTAGGATGAATTGACCTTAGAACTAAAAGTCAAAAGTATTTCTGATTTGAAAAATAAGCTGGCTCTTGTACTGCCTTTAATACAATTTGGAGCAATATATATGTGATATTGTTAATATTTACTGACATGCTCCTCTATTGATGCTGGCTAATGTTTGCTTATTGCACTGTACTCCCTGGTCTGTTAGAATAAAGAATTCTACATCTACTATCAATAGGCAGTGTCTTTTTCTGGCCTTTGTATTTCAGTTTACTATTTGTTCATTTAAAACACCAATGATTCCTACTGATGCCAGTGTGCTGCAGTGTAACTTACCTTCACATCAAAAGTTTCACTGTGGGATATCAGTAGAAGTTAAAAGTTGTGATTTGAGGTTGTCGTGGGAATGACACATGGCACTGCTAGGTGTGGAAGGATTTGGGTAGAAGTAACATGGGCAGGAATTTGGAGTAAGAGAAAACCATTGTTGCTCATCAGCTTTTCAGCAGAGCTCAGCTTTCTAAACCCACATTTTCCTTGTATTTGATGTCAGAGGCATGGGGAAATATTTCTCCATGGACATTGCAAAGGGCTTGCCACTTTATGGTGTGCTCCTGCAAATGGTATTTGGGGCACAACAAGCCTTCCTGTTCTAGAAGTTTTGGTAAGGGGAAGGCAAACTTAATGCTATTGAGTAGGGAATGTTGTCAATAAAAGAAGTTGTACCATTTCACAGCATGTTAACTCCAACAGGGACTGGTAAACTGAATTTGTGACAAAATTCAAAATGAAGTGTCCAGATTTACAAACAAAGCCCAACGACCCTCATTTAGATAGCAGATTTTCTTTTTTAAAGCAAGTGTTTTTATATTGGGGTTCCTTCTAAGCTCATGTGTTTGCCCCAGAACAAGAATAAAAAAATACTATATAGAAGAGAAAGAAAAAACTGAGTTCTGGGAGTGATTTTAGGTGCTTATACCACAGTTTTTCCTACATATGACTCTTTAAACAAAATAAAACTAAACAAAATCCTGCTGGCACCACCTTAGTTGTAAGTTCCCAAGGACCGGAAGTTTATCACCCTTCCATCTAACTCTACTTCTAGGCCAGTTTCAGAGTAGAAATGGAACATGCCCAGGGAGGAAGGTTCCTCTCCCCAGCCACATTTTGTGTCTCATCAGTATTCACAAACCTGTTTTGATGTACGACCTAAAAATTAATTCGAATCCTGTTCTACAAAAAGATGATGTCATCTTTCAGATCAGTTTCCGTAATTGCACAACCATTTCTAGCTCGTTCTTACTCAGCTTGGTCCTGTAAAATGCTTTGACAATCCTTATTTATATTTGGTCACGCTGCCCAGGTTGATATTTTTAGAACCAGAGAGATAAGTCAGCAAGGAGGAGTTTCATCGCATTTGGCCAGTCCTTTCTGGTGTCTAATATACCTGAAAGCCAGACCTCTAACCTACATAACAAAAGTTCTTCTTTGGTCTATTTTTTATTAAAACTGGAAATTATTTGCTCAGAATTCCACACTCAAAATTGTTCCATCCAAAACTCAGAGTTGGCTTGTAATATTTTGACCTTTTTTTCACAAAATGTGGTACTTACCACACACACACACACACACACACACACACACACACACTCCTTCCAAATTTTATAGATCTTTTTAGGTGTGTATTTTTGACCAAAGCTATTACTGATTCTCCAGAAGGCAATAATTCGTGGCTCCCCTTTCCAAGCACAGCTTCCCCTAGTCACACTTCCGGTCGAGGCTGCTGCACCTCTGACCCTGCTGCCCAGTGGGTTCCGTCACCCACAGGTCGGATGGGGCTGCCAGTTACACGAGCAGCAAGCTGCTCTCCCCTACGTTTTCACTATTCTTTCTAGAAATGGAACTGGACTTTGAGAAAGGTTCAATATATGCAACCTGACAATAATACAAAATTGCTTTCTGGGGGGGCTCACGATTTGGGGGGTCATTTCTCTTTTGTCTATTTTTAATATAGCAGACTTGTTTTGTCCTTTTGTTTGACAAATCTAGGAAATGTATATTCTAAGTCTACTCTTGTGCAACTCTGGGTTTCTAAATCGTATAGGAACCATGGATGTTACTACTATTCACTGTGAGTTCACTTCTGTTCTATTGGTTTAAGAATGGTATTTACCCATGCCATTAATAATATAAAGCTAGTGAAGAATGAACAAACACATGGATACGGTAAGTACAAACATAAATTTCCATATGATTTATTTTTGTTCCTTGTACATAAGAAACAGTAATATACAAGTTACACTGCTTCAGAATGTAAAATGGATAAAAATGTGTATGAAAAAAAGCACATTTCTAGAAAAAGGTATTGGCAAATAGTAAAAAATGGGGAGTAAAAGCAAAAAACAAATCAAAACAAAACAAAAACCAACAATTCTTCAATTCAGTGTGCAAACATATAAAAATAGAAATACTAACTCTACAGGCAGTATTTCCCGATAAATTATTTAAATAGCATATCTACACAATCTGAGATATCTATTCCAATGGCAATGAGAAAATAATTTACAAAAATAAAGCAACGGTATACAAGATGGTAGAAAAACAACTTTCAGAAACTGTATTTAACATTTCAATGCTATTTCCTTATGGGAATACCTTTTGCAAAGAATTTTTATACTATATACAACATTAACTTTTTTAAGGTACTACAGTAGCTAAAAGTTGGTTAGACACTAAAACTCTTTCTGCTTGATCCAAAAATTCCATACTCAGTCACACAACAAATGAGGTAATATTTGTATGTAAGTTTCACCTTTGTCATTTTTTTTCTCTTTTGGAAAAATGAAAAAAAAATAGGTGTATATGGTTTTCTTCTCCCTGGAAATAGGTGCAAGGTTGTGGGGTAAAATAGTATTAAAGATGTGATGGCTTTCTTTGCATTCTAAAACACTTACAAATGGACAACCAATTCCACTTGAAAAGACAACAAAAAATTTCCAAATCATTCACTCTAAGCACAAAGTGTAAAGCAGTTTCTTATGAGAGTTGCTGATAAAGCTCAGCGACCTGCTCTCACTTTCCATATGAAATCTAATTCCAGGTAGAACAGAGTTAATAAATAATCTGTATTTACAATCTTACAGTCATGAGGACTCCTAACAAAGATGATATGGACAGTCCTTACGCTTCTTCCTGTTCCACAATAATCCTTCAGACAGATCCTCCAGAATAGGTAAAAAATAAATATTTTACATTGTAAAGCGTTTATAAAACAAAATGAAAACAAGATCAGACAAAAAAAAAAAAAAAAATACAGTCCAAAAGACAGAATTGGAAAACTCCATGGTAATTCAGGTACAAAGAGAGAAAAGGAATGTTTTAGTTAAGTTGATAATAATTTTGTGCCTTTCTAACCATAAAAATATAAGCACAGCTGTCCCTCCCTGGGGAGACAGCTGGAACTCACTGAGATGGTAGGTTTTGCTCTTTTCTTGCTATGTCTGCACAAGGTACACCTGGAGGAAAACCACCAATTTCCACGTGGCCAGGCCGGGCCAGGCTGCCTTGAGCTTCTGACTCCTTGTCCTGGCCCCCACAGGGGATGTGTGAAGGCAGGGATGGGGAGGATGTCAGAGGCCAGGCTTCCCTTCCCTTCCCTGCTTCTGTTTAAGTGCCTGTTTAAGTGGGCTGCTCAGCTAACACTAGTCAGCGTCATGAAATCCAGCAATAGTCCTTCAATCCCCTGAAAATGATTTGGTACCAACGTGTAACAGCTCCTCCGCATTTTCTCTGTACAATGGCCTCTTGGGCGTGCGCCCTCTCCTTAGCACCTTGGCCTGTGCTCCCCGCTTCCCCTGAGGGAGTGTGAGGGGCTGGTTTTGTTTGCTAATTCTAGTAGGTCCTCCCTTCCCTTGCATGCCTGAAAATGCTTCCGAGTTCACTGCTCAGAGACGGCCCCACAAGAGCACCCAAAGCACAGTGGAGTGGGCATGTTTCCAACGGAAGCAAGTAGACGCTTTTGCTTTCCCAAAAGCAAGCCAGTCATTGTTCATATGCTTGGAAAATGTCTTCTCATTCACTGGAGGCTGAAGGCTGAATCTGTTGAAAACTGCCATTTTCTTGAGGCAGGTGATATGTTCTAGGAAGCCACACTGATGCAAGCAGAGAAAAGAGGAAGGCAAGAAGTGATCCTGGGGGTTTGTCAAGCTCTTTGTTCCAGAAGGTGCAAAACCAGCATTGGTTATGACCAGTACTCTGATCAACAGTTCGATGATTAGGAATCTGTTAAATAAATATATAAAAATAAATATACATATGAAAATGAGCTCATAAGGGCACAATCATCTTAAAAAAATTAACAACCCAGGGATAACTCTACTTTTGTAGTGATGAAAGTGCAATTTGAGATCGTTCAAACACACAAACATCTCATTTCTTTAAGCTGACGTTGACATTAGGATGAAGACACAGCACAACCTTTCAGAATTACTAGTATGCTTTCTAGGACCTTCAATATTAAAAGTTTAGGGAACTTTATTTGAAAAATTGACGTTGCAAAGTATGTCCTAAGTTAAATATTTTTTGAGTGGTATCAACCATCTTTCTTTACTCCTGGTGTGTTTGATCTCTGGATGGCCAGTGCTTTCACCTGGTAGGCTAAGCCTTGGCTACGTGTTGAACACTTACTTTATGGTAGGCCTAATGCTAGACTCAGAATTTAAGTAATCAATGGGTGGGAGAAAAGGGAAGAAAAAAGCTAAGGTTAATGGGCAGTTAATTGCACACTCCTTTCCCTGTGCAACACAGGGAAAGGGTGTGAAAGACAACTTGTGCTGTGATGGCATTTTACAAAATTGTAGGCAAAGTGTGAGGTATGTAAACATACAAAATTCTATAGAAAAGTGTTACTGACAATGTCTCAACTGTATAGCTACTTGTCTGCCATTTACTTAGGCGTTATGTATGAAGAACATAGAGACTGTCAGGAATGTGCTTGCACAAAGTAACACTGTAAATAAAGTCTCAGGATTTCTTTAGCCACAGTGCACAGACATTATCTCACTTTTAGCACTGTCTTCAGAAACAAAATGTAAATAACCCCGACTCTAAAACGGTATTGTGTGTGTGTGTGTGTATGTATTTTATAGGGGATTAAACTCAGGACTTTCAACAATGAACTACATCCCCAGCT